CTGCAAGCCCTGACCCGGCTGCGGGGGGCTCTGCTCCCTGTGCGGATGAGGGGCGGCGTGGGCAGAGCACACCGAGATTTCAGGGGTACGTGGGGCATTCGTGGCCAGCAGCTTCGGGCTGATCCCCTTGGTCCCTGCTCCCTGCTGGCCATGGCAAGAGCCGGCTGGGATGGCCCTGGCAGGGGGCTCTCGTTGGGTCACCGCAGGTCTGGGATCTGACCGTGGCTCTGTTGCTCTCTCTTCCAGCCCTTGAAGCCATGGCAGGTGACATCAGCCTTGAGGTGGGCAGCCTGGCCCGTCAAACCCTGGACCTTCTCAGGGCAGGAGACCGTGCCCCAGTGTCCGTGTTCGTGAGGCTGAGAGATCAGCTCCACAGGGCATGGAGGTCACGGCCTCGTCCATGGGGCTGTGCCTGGCTGTGCTGCTGGAGCTCCACTGAGACGTGATCTGGGAGCCTCTGTCTACTGTGGCCGCCTGATCCAGCAGGCATTTTCCATTTATTTCCAGTCTGTCCTTTTGGTGTTTTCGGTTTTCTGTAGTGTTTAAATATAGGATGTGTTCTAAGAAACAGACTGCAAGACTGTTCTTTTGTTGCCCAGGGTCTGCAGGGCATAGGAGAAGACGGGGAAAAGGGTGCTTGTGCTCAGCAAGCTGCCCAGGTGTGCAGTGGTGCAGGAAAACTGGCCAGAAGCCCCTTGGCCTTTGGTGGTTGTGCTGAAGGCACAAGCCCTGTCCCAGCCTGGCAGCACCATCTCTGTCCTCCTGCCCATGTGGTGCTGGCTGGATTGCTGAGGGCTCCCAGGTGCGTCTTGATCCAGCTCCATGAGCAGCCCCCAGGCTTGATTTGCCTTGTTCCTGACAGCCGGCTGCTCTGGTGCTTCCCTGGAGCTCCAAATTGGAGCAGGTTTATCTGAGGGAGGTGAGAATGCCAGGATGTGCCAGGACCAGAGGCCTCGGGTTTCCAAGGAAGAAACCATCAATCCCCTTTTCCAGGAGATTCCAACCCTCTAAATCACACCTGGGATAGAGATCAGCAGAATCGCTGGAGTGCTTAAGACCGGAATGCTGGGAATAAAATCTGGTCTTTAATGAACCCCATTTCCTGATGGGAAATAATTCAGGAATTCAGTTCCTGGAATTGGAAAAAGAAGGAAATGGTTTTTTTGGGAGGTGCCATAGGTGCTCCTGGACAGGGGATTTCCCTAATCCATCCTTCCCTGACTGAGGAATGGAAGTTTGTGGGATGAGCCAGGATTAACAGACCCCTCTCTCAGGTGTGTGATCCAAGATTTTTCTGCTTTTTCCCAGCCCAGGTTAGCCATGTGCAGCATTCCAGAGGGATGGAGCTATCATGTTTGTAATCCATGATTTTCCCATTTTTCTCCCCAGTTTTTCCCAGCCCATGTGAGCCATGTGCAGCCTTCCAAATGGATTGGTTCAAACCAGGAAGGATTTTATTTCCCATGGGAATAAACCTGGGCTCCAAAACAGTCCCAGAATGGCAAAATCCTGATTTTAGCAGCTTTTTCCAGCTCCACATTGCAGGAATTCATGGATCTGCTGGATAGTGGATGCTCATCCCAAATATTCTGCCCGTTTGTCTAGGAACACTCCCATGACAGTGCTGATACAAGTTGTGCTGATTCAGTCTTCTGAGATTTGTGGGGATTTTTTTTTTGTGATTTCAGGGGTCTGGGAGGGGCGGGGGGTGCAGTACACAATCTGGATCTGGAAAAATACCGGATAATGCTGGGAATGAGGAAATGTCAGTGGAAACAAGCACAAAGGAACTGGGAAAAAAGAATTTTCAAGAAGCGAAAAAAAGGATAACATTCCAACCAAATGCACTGGATGCGTATGGATGCTGAAAGCAGGCAGGGAGCACAGAGCCTGTGTGAAACTAAGTCACACAGGCTTCTCTCTCTGGCCTGGGAAAGCATAAGAAGGAATCCCAACAGTTCTTGTTAAAGGACACCAATTGGCAGGTGTTGTTTAGTCGAGGGCTGGTGTTCCACTTCAGCAATGAAGGTGATGTGTACCTTTAATGAGCAATGGGAGTTTTACCTCTCAGACCTTCTCGAACATGTGTATAAAAGAAGATTAAGAATAATAAACTTTACTCTCTTGGACAATGCAGCTAAGAGAGTCAGTGTCGTACTCCTCGCCATTCCTAATACAGTGCAAGAGAAAAGAATAACTTGGAGGTGGAATAGGAGAAATTCCAACACAACAGGTTACCAAGGCCTGGGAGAGCCCAAATTTTTCATTTTATTTGGGAAATTTTTTGGTCTTTATC